AATGAAGAAGGAACCTCTCCAAGCTAAGCTGAATGTCATCACGACCTGGCCTCTCCAGACTGGGCTCCACCACGGCTCCCTTGGGCCATGAACTTCCAGGAGAAACACTTAAAGCCATGCACAGGAGCAGGAGGGTGAGCTCTGAACGAGCCTCAGGGTCTGCCTGAAGCTCCTTGTGTCAGAAAGAACTATCTGACTCGGGACTGCAGCAAGCAGGCTGCAGACAGAAATCCCCGGAAGACATCCTCCTGGAAATGACAGGAAGGCATTTCCAACTGGGAGGGCGGTGGGAAGAGGAAGGGAAAAGCCTACAAAGAAATGGAAGTTTTTACAGGCATCGGAGACCAACTACAAAGAAGAATCTTTTTTTCTGCTCATTTGTTTACAACGTGCAATCGTAAGCCCAGGATAAGAGAACTGGGGACAGCGCTGAGATCCCCTTTGAAATGTCTGGTAATTATTTCTGTACCAACAGGAAAAACTGACTAATGACACCAGGAAGGATGATAACTGAACAAAATATTTTCAGTAAAAATAAAAGTTAAGAAGGCTGAGAAGCCACTCAGGGAAAACTAAACCAAAAACAAACCCATCTCTATTTCGAGGCTTCATCAGAATCTTCCACTGGAGAAGGATGAAAAAGTCTTATTTTGGCAGCAGCAAACATGACCCCTTAGTGCCCAATCTCTACCCTACAGGCAATGCAGGTATCTTTATCTGTGCCTCTAAAGCAGCAATTCCAAATCAAAGACTTATTTGCATAATGAAAATTACCAAATATGCTCATGGCAACACTTCAATTACCATTCCAATCAAAAAAAAGCCCAATTACATCTGTTTGGGCAAGTAGACTGTCCCTTTAACTAAAAATAAGTACAAAAAGAAGGATAAAATCGATCACAAAAAGATAAAGTTACCATTCCAATCAAAAAAAAAGCCCAATTACATCTGTTTGGGCAAGTAGATTGTCCCTTTAATTAAAAGTAAGTACAAAAACAAGGATAGAATCGATCACAAAAAGATAAAGTTCACCATTTACCTACAATTTTCCTGGGATGTAATCACAGGCGCTTGGGAGCCAGAAGACTTCACTACATCACAGATTTACTGCATCCCAGTATGGAGAATGCAAAAGAAGAGATCAGTAAACACATTTCAGTAGCACAAACCCTGCTCCCCTTCTGCTGCAGCAAGAACACCACTCTGGAGAATTCCACTGGACACTAAGAACTGGAAACCAGACAGCAATACAAAAAATATGGAAATATATATATTTGCCTCTGTGGGAAATGGAAAGCAGCTTGAGAGATCATCAACAAGATGAAGCATCTCATTCCAAGTTTTGCTGCAGGAAGAACAAGGGATGGTGAGAAGGGAAGTGAGTTTCTGTAACAGTTCACTGAGGTTCAGAAGGGTCGAGCATTCCTGGCACTGGAGACAGAAGATGAAAAAGCAACACTCATTTCAAGAAAATGGTTGAAAATACTCCTGATCATCCCCCAAAGACAAGAACCATGTGCTACCTACAAGCCGGAAAGACACCTTTGAGAAAGGACTTAAATTGGCAGAGTGAATTTTAAGTGTTTTAAGGTTCCAAGGTGTCTTGTTCAACACCAAAAATTGTTCAGGCTTTCAGAACCAACTGAGAGAGACTCGAGCACCGCTCCTCGCAACTGGAGCTCACTAACACCGTGCAGGAGCACTGGGAAAGCTTCAGGGACATTTATTTCATGTACAATCTCCAGGCAGAGCACACAATGACATTTCTCAGCATGACACCCTCATGCATTTCCAGAGTCTGGAGATGATTCATATTTAATGTGTTTATGGTGCTGCACCAGGCAAAATCCTCCTTTTCCTGTCCCCTGAACAAAGACACTGGAATTCAAGTAGCAAGCACAGAGAATGGTTTCCAGGGGTAAAAACAGATCTGTTCCCTCCCTTCTGTTTTCCAGAAGAACTGCAGAATTAGAAGCTTGAGATAGCAGCTCAAAATCCCAGAGTTCTATGAAATCACACTTGTCTGATATTCAGAGTGGGTAATGCCTCTTATGTCTGGATTAATGAATAGCAAATACACATTTATTAACAAATTAATGAAAATCCAATCAGCAACATTCCATTTTCATATTCTTACAACTGTTCTGTAAATCATAAAATAAATTTCCAAATGGAAGAAGAACTAGAAGTCTGTCACTGCGAGGTCATCACTGCTAAAACCAGCCTATCCTGCTCCTCCAAAAAAACCAGGAGTTAACTGCAGCAGTATTTCCAACCTACAATATGATTTATATGGGACAAAACCCCACAGCAAGGTGACAAAAAAGCCTTGAGTAAGCTGAATTTCAGCCAGATATTGCCTTACTTTGTGTTTCAGGAAGCAGAGAACAAGCTGTGTGAACTACTAGAGGAGTAGGAAAAAGCTCTGAACACTTTGGATCAATCCCTGTCACGGAATTCTCTCATTATCCAGAGTAATCAGATCTGTAGGAGAATTCTACATGGTGTGGCTAGCTGTTCAAATTAGCCCTTCCTTTTAAAAACAAGAGTAAATGAGATTACATACAGCCTTATGCAGACTGAACTATCATTTCCCTCTCATTCCTAAAAAAGGAGGTTTTAAGGCAAGTAAGACCAGACCAAAAAAAAAAAAAAAAAAAAATAGAAAGACTTACACAAAACAGGGGGAAAATTTCAGATACACAACAAGAGTTGCCAGTCCTTCCTCTTTACCCTGCTCCTGTACAGCATCAGCTCCCCAAAGATCTGCCTACAGTCTGCTATTAAACACTTGATGAATGCAAATGATAGTCAATCTTAATCTTTTGAAATGTAAGTGTAAAAGGTATGTTTGTTTCCCTGTATAAGCACCTGGTTTGCACAAAGCCCAGGATAATTCTCCTGTATAAAAAACCCCAGCCAGACCTCTCATTACTACTTATGGCAGGGTAACAGACAAAGTGTGGTGGCAACTTCTCAAAGATGCTGCACAGACCCCACAACAATTAAAGAAAACAGTAAACCACCCTTTTCTCTACCAAGGGTGTACAGCTACAGGAAGAACACAGAATGTGCCACATCCAAACCAGCAATGGAAACAAAATGGGTCTTTGCTCCTCTGCAGGTTTGTCTTGTTGGGTGGTGCAGTTTAAACAGAGTTTCTAACAACTGCCACTCCAGGCCCTTGTCCCAAGACCCTCTCCAGGTCTCCTGGAGCCTCTTTGGGCACTGCAAGAGCTCTGAAGTCACCCTGGACCCTTCTCTTCTCCATGCTGAACAATCCCAGCTCTCAGCTTGGTATCAGCTCAGCCTCTGTGACCCTCTGTGGTCTCTGACATTGAAGAGTGTTGGTAAGTGAATGACCAGGTCGTCTTTCAGTTTTAACAAGAAGCCTCAACATGAATTTTTAAAGGTTTTCATTCCAGAAACTTGTGCTGCAGTTTAACCCAAACACACCTAAAGAATGCACTCAGGTTTTTTAAAGGATCTGGACTGGCTGTTGGCAGATGCCAAATACCTGGAGGCAACAGACTTTTAGTTCCATTCAAGTTTAAGTCTTTTCTGTTAGGTACAGAATTAATTAGCAGTTCAGGCTTGTCTGTGGATTTAGAGTGTAACAGGGTTTGTGGGCTGTTTTTGTTCAGTTGTTTTGAGGATACAAGTTTCTACAAGATTTGGTTGCTGCTGTCTATGAACCAAACCCATCATTAAGCACCTTGACTTTAGAAACAGATGCCCAAATTATTTTTTTAGTAAGTGATACAAAAACATCAAATCCTTTTGATATAATAGAAGCATCAAATTCTTTCAATGAGCAAGTTCCACTGTGCACAGTTAAATCCACAGGTTCTCAGGAGAGGTCTGGCAAAACATGAATGGTGAGCAGTGCTGTAAAGTTTCTCTGACAAACCTACAACCACTTGAGGTTCTGATCAGGATTCCAGGACCATGCAAAAATCTGGGAAACATTCTCACACAAACATTTAATGCATATGAACTTGGAGAGAGAGAAACAGGAATAATGCAGCTATCTGAATCCTCACCCTATAACCATTTTTTCCTCAAACAAAAATGTAATGCCAATTAGGAAAGTGGAACATGACCATGTAAGAAATACAGGGTTCAATTTATTAAAAAAAAACCCTTATCCAGTGAAGGGAGACACATCTATAATGGGGCAAAATTATCTTTTTTCCCCATTGCACAGATGTGTACTAATATTTACAAGTTACTGACAAGAATCCCAGATGCAAGCTAACACTGAGCCTAATATCCCAAATCAAAGCTTTGCCCTTAGATCCTCACTTTTTTACGTTTAATGAAGATCAGTGGGAGTCTTTAAAGTCTAGAACATGGCTGGGAATAAGAAAAGGATGCAGATTAAAAGGTCATGCCTCTTTTTTGTATGTTGTCAATTAGAAAAATAACTACACTGGTCATGTACAGAGTTCCAGCTGATATGCATTGTATCTTCATGTATTTGAGGACCTTCTACCACATCACAGTAGAGATGTGTGTGAAAGGAGTTTAAATACTACACTTCCTCAGGCCCCAATGGAAAATATGACCTTTTCTTCCTGCTCACATTTTGGTAAAAGCTTCATGGCCCAAAATGTCATCTCCCATTCCATTTTTATCCTAACTAGAATCCACTGGTTTACAGTCAGTCAGCATTCTGCCTCAATTCCAAAGAGGGATTTATTCCCCTGGAAGACAGAGTGCATTCTAGGAGTTAATTGCCTGTGTGGCATAACAGAATAAAGGAACAGCTAATGTATTGCTTATGGAGATGCATATATGAAACACAGCAACCTTAACATAAAATACCTGACGCTTTTGATCACCCAGCTGAACTACACCACCTACTTTCCCTCTCCTAGAATGAACTCTGTTACTTCTCCACAAGCTCTTTTTTACACTCAGAACTTTGCCAGCACTGTTCATGTTGGCCAGAACATCACAAACCTTAAGAAAACACCAGAATAAAGGAGAGTCCTTACCAGCAGCAACTACAGCTGGAGGCGGCGAACCGGCCTCACCACCGCTTGTTTGGCTCATGGATGCTATGGATGTTTCTCTGGAAGGTGGTAACTGCAGCTCCTTTGGGAGAAGGTCATAGACAGATTCTGTGGAACAAAAAGAACTCGATCAAAATGTCACCCGTGTTCTACACAAGAAAAGAAATAATATTTTTGCCTAAAAGATATGAACTATAACCCAACCCTTTCAGAACCTTTGGGAAAAGTTACAGTAAGTGCTTGGAAACAACACATGGAAGAAAGTTATTTCAGAAAACAAACAAACATTAAGATGCACATTCTGAAGACCGAAACAAAGGACACAAACTTGTTCAAACAAAGAAATAATTCATGAACTTCCAGAGAAACTGTTCTCATCCAGAATGAAGGGCTGAGGGCAGCACATCACATGAGAATCTGAGACAAACCTGTTTTCAGAATTCCAACTGCGCAACTGACTTCCTAAGGAAAAAAAGCCTAATTTAGCACCATGACCCTAACAACATCCTATGGAGTCTTAGAATCACAGACTGGATTTGGGTGGGAAGCAACTTTAAAGGCCATCCTGCTCCACCCCCTGCCATGGCAGGGACCCCTTCCACTGCCCCAGGCTGCTCCCAGCCCCGTCCAGCCTGGCCTTGGGCACTGCCAGGGATCCAGGGGCACCCACAGCTGCTCTGGGCACCTGTGCCAGGGCCTGCCCACCCTCCCAGGCAAGAATTCATTCCCAATATCCTATTTAACCCTGATCTCTGGCAGTGGGAGCCATTCCCTGTGTCCTGTCCCTCCATCCCTTGTCCCCAGTCCCTCTCCAGCTCTCCTGGAGCCCCTTTGGGTGCTGGAAGGGTTCCAAGATCTCCCCTGGAGCCTTCTCTTCTCCAGGTGAACACCCCCAGCTCTCCCAGCCTGGCTCCAGAGGCAAGGGGCTCCAGCCCGTGGATCAATGACCTCCTCAGAGCTTGCTCCAAGAGCTCCATGTCTTCGCTGTGCCGTATCCCCATGGGTTTGATCTCTCTTCCTCCTTGTGTGTTACCCAGAAGAACTCCTAAGGTTCCCTCCTAAGAGCTTGCTCCATCCTCTCATAGTCACAGCTCTCAAGTTAATTCCAGCCTCCTGTACACCTGCAGCCTTAGGTGTGCTCACCAGGGGTTTCAGGATAGAGGCTGGCTGTCGTATTTTAGACCACATTTCAAGTAACTTGGTCTTTATCAATGAAGCATGAAATTAAAGATTTGCTCTTAATGGTCTTGTGATCTTTGGGAATGTGCTTCAATTCTAATGCTGGCTTTTCCTTCCCTCCTTTATCATATTGTTGGAATTATTCACAAAGACTAGAATTGTGCTGCTTGTGGATTACTGCAAAAATCATGTGCTCCCTGAGAAAAAATTATCCTGTGAGAGTCTTGGATGTAAGCACACCTCTAAAGCAAAAGGCCTGACAGAACCTTCGCCACACTGGAGAGTCAAAAATAAATTTCTTAAACAAAAAAATCCCCAAGAATCAGCCCAAAGAGACAAGCTCTCAATTAGCCAGGAACTTGGGGTTTGGAAAGGAGCTTTTGTAGCCAACCCTGAATACATTATGTGTCATGACAGATGATTATGACAATTCACTCCTCTCAAAGGATTTCTTGACGAGAAAGAAATTGAAGCATGTGTATATATTCAACTTACACATGAAATATAAAGTGTTCTGTAGTTACCTGCAGACACACACTGTTGCAATCCCTCATTCTGGAGCCCCTCACTAAACATTTTGAGTAGCAGCAGCCCTGAATGTCTGATTTTCCTGTCCTGCTACAGGTAGAAGTGCCAGTGCCAGCTGGAGTAAAGGCTGGTGCTCACTTACAAGGGCTTGTACAAACTGCTGCACTCATCTCTGAGGAAAAGCAAATGCAGCTGCTCCTTGTAGTACAACAGGAGCAAAAGTGAGAACAAGTGTTACCTTCCCATCCCTTCCAAACCATTCTGTGAATCTATGAACTCATGGCAGAAGGTGATGGTCAAATCCAAGCTTTCAGAAGAAAAACAACTCTCCTGGCTTTTCTTGCATCAGATGCAGCTTCACAGTCTAAAACACATCGTTTCTGAACTGCAGTTCAGCACTTTCCAGAGGAATCCCAAGTTGCCTGGGTACCTTTAAGAACTTCTACTGCCACAAACCTACTCCACACACATCAGACTTCAAATGAAACTTTGTGTTTTCACCTAAACACAGGCCAATGTTTATATATGCTGAACTATAAATAGCATTAAAGCAAAAACTGACAAATTCCAGAAACATGATGAGAGTTGTTGCAAGGAAACTAATTCTTCCCCAGAGGATACAGCCCCCCCGTGCCCCACACTGTCCTAAGAGCTGAAGCTAAGCTCAGCCCCTCTCCATCACCACATTTTAGACGTGTGCACTCACCAATACTGAGAACACGAAACTCCCTGCTAGAATTTTACGTTGATTCATGCAGAAAACACCCACTAAAGGGAAAGGCTGCTGCAGAAATGCAGTATTACATTTGGAGGCAAAAATAGCATTTCAGCATCATTACGTATTTCTACATAATTAGTGAGAAAAAAAATGTGTAGACAGAATTCCTGCTTCCAGCAGCCAGCACTGAATCAGTGAGGAAGTTCAAGCTGTCTGACAGCACTAAGTGTCCTGTAATTTATTGCTGATTTCAATTCCTTTGACAAATACATTGGTGGATCCCGAATTTCTAGGGTTTTTTTCCTGGAAGTAGCTCCATTTATACCCAACATTTAAACAAATTTTCTCTCTCCCTACAGGAAGCAAGGAACATGTGTTTCAGGATTAGTGTTATTATGAAATATAAACAAGATAACACACAAACCAGATAACCAAACACTAGTGAACTGCTCGAAGTCCCACAGAGTCATTTCCCGACACAAATCCGCACCTGTTAATCAGTTATGAGACATTATCTACAGTAAACTTCCAAATCTCTTATCTTGCCTCAAAATATCTTGCCTAGACAAGCCCAGCTTCACAAATTCTCCTCCCAAAACCAAGGACACATAGGGACAGGCAGATTTACAAAAAGTATTTTAAGTGTCAAATTTCTTCAACTGCCCTTTATCCGATTATCCTGCCCTTATAATCTATCATCGGAGATCAGCTGCTTGGAACTTTGATCTTCCTGCCAGTTGTACTGACAGTCCAGAAAATTCTATTTCACATGGTATGTGGACCAGAACCACACCAAACATGGGATCAGGATGCAACAACACAGCACTTGGAATGGGGAAAGAGAAGATGTTGTTGAGTACTAGTTGGACCTGCACACAAGATTCTGAATTTATATATTAGCAAAAACTAATCAAGAAATTTAGGAAGGAATTTTTCACTGTGAGGGTGGGCAGGCCCTGGCACAGGTGCCCAGAGCAGCTGTGGCTGCCCCTGGATCCCTGGCAGTGCCCAAGGCCAGGCTGGACAGGGCTGGGAGCAGCCTGGGATAGCAGAAGGTGTCCCTGCCATGGCAGGGGTGGCAATGGGTGGGATTTAGGGTCCCTTCCCACCCAAACCACTCCAGGCTTCTCTGGAATTGGGTCATTTCAAGTTAAAACAACTGCACAAAAGGTGTCTGTGGCAGGGCGCACACATGACCACCAGTCCACACAAAATACACCCTTGGGTCAACACGGACCTGGATCAGTCCCAGCAGCTGGTGACAGGATCTCTGTCTTCCAGGGGGAGAGGAGAGGCCTTGGAAAGATTCAGGAAAGATAATGCTGAGAAGGTACAAAAACCAGCGTGTGAAACTGATGTGGTGATGGTGCAGCAGGAGTGCAAAAGGCTGGTGGCTTGTGATGGCAAACCAAGGTCCTTCCTCTTTTACTCACTTCCCCTCAGTGCACACACACAGTTACCCTTTTCTAGGAATGATTTTGGTTTCCTGCACACAACCTAACCAGGCTGAGCTACAGACCTGGGCCTACAGCAAAGTCTGAGTGCTCAGCCATCCCCACCAGCAGCAAACACCTCTGGAATTCCGAGCCCATCCTCATCCTCACAGCACCAAGGGACTTTCAGAAACACAGCACACCTTGTGACCTGCAACATCACATTCCTCCTCACTCACCAGCATGCTGTGATTCCATTTAAACTTTACTCTTAGGAACAGAGCAATTAAGCTTACAGGAGCAAAGAGAATACAACACAACTGCTTCCTATGTGGGAATGCTGAGACAACTCCAGATTCTGTGAGGAGCTTGGACGTGTCCCATACAAAGCCCTGCTTTTCCCAAAGAGTAGGTATTCCCAGCACGGGGAGTGTTCTCCCCCCTCATGGAAAAAGTCTGCTGTAAAGCAGAAAACCAAGTACACAAGGATCCTCTATTCCACCACATGCAGCACCTTCTTCCTTTGGGTCAAGAATCCTCCATGACTTTCTGACGGCACGTACACAGACATTTCAGCTGCACAGAATAAAAACTGTGATTTCTAGAAATTGAGTGCCCTGTTATCTTGTGCTGTGCTAGTACTGGCTCAGGGTGTTACAGAACCTCTCTGTCCTCAAACTTCTGAGACACAAATTGAATTGAGATCCTTCTGGCTGGCTGACCAAATTGCTGCTACCTGTAACTCGGCACCTGGCGATGCTGGGAGCATAGAGCCAAGGAAAAGAGCAGAGAATACCCAGCTCCAATGTTTAAAACAACAGCAGCTCATTCACGAGGAATGCAGACATCCTCACTTTGCCAGGACCTCCAAACACTTTAAACATTATGGAATTTTCTTTACATACAGAAAAGATACCCCTAAGCTTTGCTACTCCATATCAAAAGCTAAGCCATGTTACCTGGCACTGCCACAGCTGGAAGCCAAGCCACAAACCTGACAGAGAAGTTTGCTCTGGCCTGCAGGCAGGTGAGGCCATAACTAATGCAGAGAGCCCTGGCTGCAGGCAGCTCCAACTCCATCACTTCTCCAGGCTGCTCCCAGGCCCAGCCTTGAGGAAGCTGCTGGAATCCAGCCCCAGCTCTCCTCCATCTCAGCAGTGTCTGTCCCACCACTCATGGGACTTCACCCCCTGTAATGCTCCTCCAGCAGCACCCCTTCAATCCCCACCCCTGGACTCACAGGTA